ATTGTAGTGCCAGTTTTGTAAGAATGTTATTTTTATATCATTTTTATTTTTATATCATTAAATCAGGTAGTCAAAAATTGACTTCATCGAGATAAAAAATAAATAATAAAAAGTTAAAACAACACAGTTCAATAACTTTAATCTTTCAACATTTTAAAATTTAATTTAATTTAATTTAGAAGAGACGTGTTTTTCATAACGATGTCATGTTAGTCTAAATCTGTAACACTCACTTCATCATGTATTATTACACTAATCAATCTCACTACATCATGTAACATCACACTACATCATGTAACATGACAATACATCATATATCATCACAATACATCATGTATCATCTCACTACATCATGTATCATCTCACTACATTATGTATCATCTCACTACATTATGTATCATCTCACTACATCGTGTATCATCTCACTACAACATGTTTCATCTCACTACATCGTGTATCATCTCACTACATTATGTATCATCTCACTACATCATGTATCATCTAACTACATCGTGTATCATCTCACTACACTATGTATCATCTCACTACATCGTGTATCATCTCACTACATCATGCAACATCTCACAACATCGCATAACATCACACTACATCGTGTATCATCTCACTGCGTCATGTATCATCACACTACATCATGTATCATCTCACTAAATCATATTTCATCTCACTACATCGTGTATCATCTCGCTACATCATGTAACATCTCACTACATCGTGTAGCATCACACTACATCGTGTATCATCACACTACATCCTGTAACATCACACTACGTCATGTAGCAATACACTACGTCATGTAGCATCACACTACTAACATCACACTACATCGTGTATCATCTCACTACATTATGTATCATCTCACTACATCGTGTATCATCTCACTACATCGTGTATCATCTCGCTACATCATGTAACATCTCACTACATCGCATAACATCACACTACATCGTATATCATCTCACTGCGTCATGTATCATCACACTACATCATGTATCATCTCACTATATCGTGTATCATGTGTATCATCTCACTACATCGTGTATCATCTCGCTACCATCACACTATATCATGTATCATCTCACTACATCGTGTAGCATCACACTACATTATGTATCATCTCACTACATCGTGTATCATCTTACTATGTCATGTATCATCTCACTACATTATGTATCATCTCAGTAAATCATGTATCATCAAACTACATCATGTATCATCACACTAGATCGTGTATCATCTCCCTACGTCATGTATCATCACACTACATTATGTATCATCTCACTAAATCATGTATCATCTCACTACGTCATGTAACATCACACTACATCATGTATCATCTCACTAAATCATGTTTCATCTCACTACATCGTGTATCATCTCACTACATCGTGTATCATCTCACTACATCATGTATCATCTCACTAAATCATGTATCATCTCACTACATCTTGTAACATCTCACTACATCGCGTAGCATCACACTTCATAATGTATCATCTCACTACATCATGTATCATCTCACTACATCGTGTAGCATCACACTACATTATGTATCAATTCACTACATCGTGTATCATCTCACTACATCATGTATCATCTCACTCCATCGTGTATCATCTAACTACATCATGTATCATATCACTACATCATGTAGCATCTCACTACATCTTGTATCATCACACTAAATTATGTAGCATCTCACTACATCTTGTCACATCACACTACATTATGTTTCATCACACTACATTATTTATCATCACACTCGTCATGTATCATCACACTACTATATCATGTATCATATAAATACATAATGTAAAATCTCACTACATCGCGCAGCATCACACTTCATTATTTATCAATTCACTACATCGTGTCTCATCTCACTACATCATGTATCATCTCACTACATCATGTAACATCTCACTAAATCGTGTAGCATCACACTACATTATGGATCATCTCACTACATCGTGTATCATCTCACTACATCGTGTATCATATCACTACATCATGTATCATCACACTATATCATGTATCATATAAATACATAATGTAAAATCTCACTACATCGCGTAGCATCACACTTCATCATGTATCATCTCACTACGTCATGTATCATCACACTACATCATGTATCATCTCACTACATCTTGTATCATCACACTACATTATGTATCATCACACTACATTATGCATCATCTCACTATATCGTGTATCATCTCACTACATCGTGTATCATCTCAATACGTCATGTATCATCATACTAAATCATGTAACATCACTCTGCGTCATGTATCAACACACTACATCATGTATCATCACATTACATCATGTATCAACTCACTACATGATGTATCATCTCACTATATCATGTATCATCACACTCGTCATGTATCATCACACTACATCGTGTAGCATCACACTACATCGTGTATCATCACACTTCATCCTGTAACATCACACTAAATCATGTAGCATCTCACTACATCCTGTAACATCACACTACGTCATGTAGCAATACACTACGTCATGTATCATCACACTCCATCATGCAGCATCACACTACATCATGTAACATCACACTACATCATGTAACATCACACTACGTCATGTAACATCTCACTAAATCATGTAACATCACACTACATCATATAACATCACACTATATCATGTAACATCACACTCCATCATGTAGCATCACACTAAATCATGTAACATCTCACTAAATCATGTAACATCACACTACATAATATATCATCACACTATATCATGTAACATCACACTACGTCATGTAACATCACACTACATCATGTAGCATCACACTTCATCATGTATCATCACACTACATTGTGTATCATTACACTACGTCATGTAGCATAACACTCCATCATGCAGCATCACACTACGTCATGTAACATCACACTAAATCATGTAACATCACACTACATCATGTAACATCACACTACATCGTGTAACATCACACTATATCATGTAACATCACACTACGTCATGTAGCAATACACTACGTCATGTATCATCACACTCCATATCATCTAACTACATCGTGTATCATCTCACTACACTATGTATCATCTCACTACATCGTGTATCATCTCACAACATTATGTATCATCTCACTACGTCATGTATCATCACACTACATCATGTAACATCACATTACATCGTGTAACATCACACTACATCATGTAACATCACACTACATCGTGTAACATCACACTACATCGTGTATCATCACACTACATCGTGTAACATCACATTACATCGTGTAACATCACACTACATCACGTAACATCACACTAAATCATGGAACATCACACTACATCATGTATACTCACACTACGTCATGTAACATCACACTAAGTCATGTATCATCACACTACACCATGTAACATCACACTACGTCCTATAACATCACACTACGTCATGTAGCAATACACTACGTCATGTAGCATCACACTCCATCATGCAGCATCACACTACGTCATGTATCATCACCCTACATCCTGTAACATCACACTAAATCATGGAACATCACACTACATCATGTATACTCACACTACGTCATGTAACATCACACTGAATCATGTAACATCACACTTCATCGTGTATCATCACACTAAATCGTGTAACATCACACTACATCTTGTAACATCACACCCCATCATGTATCATCACATTACATCATGTATCAACTCACTACATGATGTATAATCTCACTATATCATGTATCATCACACTCGTCATGTATCATCACACTACATCGTGTAGCATCACACTACATCGTGTAGCATCACACTACATCCTGTAACATCACACTAAATCATGTAGCATCTCACTACATCATGTATCATCACACTACATCCTGTAACATCACACTACGTCATGTAGCAATACACTACGTCATGTAGCATCACACTACGTCATGTATCATCACACTACATCATGTAACATCTCACTAAATCATGTAACATCTCACTACATCATGTATCATCACACTACATCCTGTAACATCACACTACGTCATGTAACATCACACTACGTCCTATAACATCGCACTACGTCATGTAACATCACACTACATCGCGTAACATCACACTACATCATGTAGCATCACACTTCATCATGTATCATCACACTACATTGTGTATCATTACACTACGTCATGTAGCATCACGCTACGTCATGTATCATCACACTACATCGTGTAACATCACATTACATCGTGTAACATCACACTACATCTTGTAACATCACGCCCCATCATGTATCATCACACTACGTTATGTAACATCACACTACGTCCTATAACATCGCACTACGTCATGTAACATCACACTACATCGTGTAACATCCCACTATATCATGTAACATCACACTCCATCATGTAGCATCACACTAAATCACGTAACATCACACTAAATCATGTAACATCTCACTACATCATGTATCATCTCACTAAATCATGTAACATCACACTTCATCGTGTAACATCACACTATATCATGTATCATCACACTCGTCATGTATCATCACACTACATCATGTATCATCTCACTAAATCATGTAACATCTCACTACATCATGTATCATCTCACTAAATCATGTAACATCACACTTCATCGTGTATCATCACACTAAATCGAGTAACATCACACTACATCTTGTAACATCACACCCCATCATGTATCATCACACTACGTCATGTAACATCACACTACGTCCTATAACATCACACTACGTCATGTAACATCACACTAAATCATGTAACATCACACTACATCATGTAACATGACAATACNACACTAAATCGTGTAACATCACACTACATCTTGTAACATCACACCCTATCATGTATCATCACACTACGTCATGTAACATCACACTACGTCCTATAGCATCACACTACGTCATGTAACATCACACTAAATCATATATCATCACAATACATCATGTATCATCTCACTATAGCTACATCAAAGTCTCAAAGTCAAACCAATCTGTAGCAAACATATTAACTCACGAACACAACATGTTGGACGGCCAAGTTGATGGATCTCTGTCAAAAGTCTTTACGAAGAAACAAACTGAGAGGTATTTACTGAAGATTGTCGTCGTATTGATGACACACTGGAGTTTATCGGGTGAAAACTTGCTTTTGACGTACATACAGGTAGACGACACACATGCATGCTGAATTAATAGCTTCTCCAAAGTCCGGAGACGTATTCCTGATAGCATCACACCACAGGAAAAACATCTCACCCTGTCCTCGGGGCCAACGTAGTAAAATCCTGCCTCAGCCACATCACTTAAAAACTTCTCCTTGTCATCGCCATTGTTTCCTGAAGACTGTGTCATCAACATGCTATGCATTGTCAATTTTCTCTTTTCCAATGATTCATAGTAAGGATTGCCAGAGGAAATTTGTTCAATGTCTGACTTGATGATCTCATCAATAGCCTCTTCAGACATGTGTGCCTTGACCAAAGGGCATCGTGGAAATCCCTCCGCATGCATGGTCCATGGGTCATCCAACTCTTTCCAGTCAATCCGCGCTCCTCCACAGTAGTAACATCGTGCACGGTCTATCAGTCCATCGCAAAAGAAACCCGCTTCCGCCATAGATGCTGCTTTGGTATGGAAAACAGTGTCGTTAAATGTCACCTTTCGCTTCTGTTCATCAGCAAAGTCTGGATGTTGTACTTCGCCAGGGGGACTACTTCCTATAATGGCATGTCTGGATAAATGGTAGATCCTTGCCATGATTTTCCTCTCCAACACCAGATGACCACTAAGAGTGTATTCTAGTATCCACTCACACTGTTTCCGGTCTCCGACGTTCAGGACACAGCTGCAGATTGTCGGGAATATTTTGTCAACCCCACGGCCCACTATGTCTATCGTGTCCTTTGCTTCCGCGTCTATTTTCAGTTCCACCTGTGTGCTCATGGATTGTATACACTGTAACGTTTCCACCACTTTGTCTGTTTTGTACTGTTCATGGCTTTTACTATTCTTTATATAATCGCTTAAATCCAGTTTGATCTCTTTTGAGGAAGGCATTATTTGTATCCCTAGAATGTTCATATCAGTGGAACTGATATTTCTGAGTCCACTTTGGAACATGTAGTCGAAGAGACTTGTCGATTGAGGGATCTTGCAGAGGATAACATTGGTATCACTTTCATGAAAATTTAGTACTGATGACGTCATGCGACGTAAGACCTCTTCCAGCCAGTGAAGCGTCTTGGAAATAATTATTGCATCCGATACTTGTCTTTCATGTCCTTGTTCAAATGAAAGGGAAATGCATCGTTTGGAGAGTGAGCAATATGAGTAAACAAGTTTCAACATGTTGAGGAATTCCTCCTGAATGGGGTGTACGATGAGGATGCATTTTGAGCGTTCTATCATACCACGTATGCTCTCCAGTAGTGGTTGCCCCGGAAGTATATCCAACTCTATGTCACAACACGTGACTCCTTTATCTTTTAATGGTGTCAGTATGACCTCCACAACACTCTCAGCCAGGTTAGATTCGTCGTACACCACACACGCATCACATTGTTTATTGCTGGTTCGTTCTACTGCCATACAGAGGGATTTGCCATAAACTGCAAAATAAAAAAAAAATCACCGTTTCAAAAAATAAAATGATCACAAAGAGAATACCGAAGTGTCAACAAAATCTATAATTCGAACCAAAATCAATAAAAGTAAGACATAATACAAAACAAATGGAAGTTTAAATTGTAACCCTTGAAAACTTTCAAGACATTACGATTTTAGTGTTACGTTGTTGTGTGATTCTTTCGATATACATCAAATGCTCAAACTAATTTACTTGTATCATCCCTAAGATGGCGTGCACTTAAGCTTTGATTTTGACAAAATAATCAAGGGATGCAAAGCTCGTAAAAGAGCATAGTCCTGGGGTTCGAAGATGCTATTGTGGATGAAGCTAACAGACACACTCTGTCAAAGATATAATTGTGTTGGAATGTTGTTTCAAGAAAAAGAGACATGCACAGTTTATTGATACAGAAATGTCCGCTACAATTAAAGGAGAAATTCTTCTTTATGTTTATATTAAAGCCCCCTAAAAGATGCCGTAGTCACCAAAAGTTTCAACCCCCTGATTAGTCATGTTTAAATACCTCAATTAAAAATAGGAACTTATATATGATATTTATATAGCCAGGTTAACGTAGTCAGAAATAAGGCATTAAGGCTGATAAAAATAGCTCACTGGACTTATAACGTGTCAATCTCTTTTGCGATCCAACTGAGTGCTGAGAAATGACCTATAATTTAAAGTTTATTCATGCGGGGTTATATTTCTCTTCTACTAGCTGTTGAGAGGAACTCAGACCTCAAATAAAGATAGATGTCGCCATGCGAAACCACCAAAATCATAGTAAAATTCCCTGGTAATACATTTTTATTTATTTATAAATAAGAAAACGTAAAGGCTAAGTTACCTTGATCGATAAATGATCTTTAGATGATGTGCCATTTGATAACATTCTGTGATTATATGAATGCGCTAGACATGTCATAAACATTGAAGCTGAAAAGTACAATAATGTTTATAACAAGTCTAGCTCTTTTATAAAAAACATTAAATGTTAAAAAAAAGACATTTTATATGAAGTTTAAGTAGTGTTTATGGTCAAAGGTCTATGGTTTAACATATATATACAGGTGAAATATGTTACGCGGACGTTTTACTTTGATTTTTGTACTTTCCCATAGCAACAATCATCTCTTTGTGAGGACGGTATACCTCTCCACACATAGTTAAAGAGAAATAAAGCCCCGCAAAACCTAGGTATATAAATGATCTTCAAATAACATGTCATTTCGTAACATTAACTTTGGTCGCTTAAGAGATTGACATGTTATAAATCTGGTGAGTAACTTTTATCATTACATCAGCTTTAATGCCGTATTTTGACTTCGTTAACCTGGCTATGTGCCTTTTAATTGCTCATGTACAAGTTCAATATATTTAAATTACATATATATTCCGATTATTGATAAGGGTATTTGAATATGACTTGCCAGTGGCTTGAAAGTTAGGGGGACTATTACATCTTTTAGGGGGACTTATTAAACCTTAATGACGTATTAACGCAATAAGGTCCTACATTTTTGACTCAACATAGTTTGCAAAACGATTAATTTGAAGATTGAAAATTGTACGTTAAATTGAACTTCAACGACGGATTTACACAATAAGGTTATACACATTTTCCGCGACATAGTTTGCATTGCAATTGAATGTATAATTGAACACGCCAGCATATGTTTCGGTCCTTAGAATGATATATTAGTACGATTCCAATACCATTTCGTGATACAAATTGTATTTTATTGCAGATCGCAGCACATTAGTTGCCTCTTACTTAACATGAAGGCTTATTATTTCTCCGAACCTGCTGGGGGTGAATTTGACTTTCGGTTTTATTACATTTATAGGTAACATGGAGACAGTGACCCCCTTGTAGTGACTACTGGTTTGGTCGTTCTGGTGTATCCCGTACCATTTGTACCAACATCAACAGTCATGCATGCAGATTTGGTTGTCTTGTCCTTTTCCCGATATTTCATGTACAGCACTGACATGGAATTCATCGGAATCGCATAAGTCTTTTCACCGAATTTGTTAAATGCCTTTATCTATTACATGGTCAGGAAGTAGGAATGTACACATTTATAATTGTACATAATTTCTTCAGATTAAAGTCCAATAACATGTATTCAACAACTTGTATACTTCGTAGTCTCTTTTCTCAGACCCTTCTTTTACCTACTTTTAATCTAAACGTTCCAAATAGGTGTTCTTGCTTTGTTTGTCAAACATTTTACTGTTTCATCCCATTCTACAGTTCACGGAAAGATGTATCAAATAAAACATATGGCAGTGACTTTCAGAACATCAACGACTCTATATTTCGCTGTTCCTTCTTTCAGCTTTGTGTATATTTATTTAACAAATGTATAGCATTTAACCAGAAAAAGACCTCACAACAGTTGGCTCTAAAGAATAGAAGCTGCATTTTCATTTAAATACTGGATAGGGCTTATATTATCTGTCAGGTTATGTAGATCACTGACACCACTTCCTATCACGACGAGACGTCAGTATAGCAGAATATATTGCTATCTCATTTACACAAAGATAGAGACTGCATGAACCATTGTTGGTCTAACTTATGTGTCAATCAGTCATCAAGGAAATATGTCATGACAAAGACATGTCCCGTTCCAACGAAATCGCAACCAAATTCAGCAGCTAGAAACCAAATATTCGAGGTTTGAAAGGTCATTAAAAGCTGTTCGAAGTTCCATTAATATTTTATTGCCTACACTTGTAGGCAATAAAATATTAATGGAACTTCGAACAGTATTCTAAATCATCAGAATGGTTACGAAACATTCGCAAAAGTATAAATATAACCTTTTAGCTGCTTTGGAGATGACTTTTGAGTAGCATCGAAATAACAAATACGGTTGAAATGGAAGTGTATTGGCGGTATAAATTAAAAAGAGCCATACATTTAGTTGGACCATAATTGCAAAGTGCTTTTCTTTACTTGATTTGAATTAAAAACATTCACATTCATAGTTGTTATCTTATTTGTGTTTACCGGTTGAAGACAAAACTAGGTTTGGAGGTAGAACAGACCTATCGTATCCCACTGCGTGGCGTTAATGGTCCCCTACATCATCGGGGTTTTTCTTACGTGTCTTTTGTTAAGGGATCTTTGAAAAAAACCTAAATTGATCTGCTGCTCTTTTTGCAACATTTTGGGTCCTTTTTCTCTCTACTTTCTAATAATCTATTTTTGAATCCTAGCGCATTGCTTGGACAAAACTCACTGCCTTAGTGTTGAACGTTCGCCCAAGAGGAGTAGGCAATGGATTAAGTCCCCAGGCTGGGGCCTGTCAAAGTTCTCCAAAATGTTATACAAAAACATAGGCTGTATATTAAGTACATATATGTGACATTGTAAACATTATAATCTGTAAATGTACTTTAAAAGAAATGTGTTCATAAATGACAAATTAAATGTCTGATACTAACTTTATGGATTATGTTAATAGTTTTGTAAGAAAACTAGGTAAAATATTATTTTGATATTATATATATGGATTGAATGGATTTTTATGTACATTGCGGCAATGAATAGCAGTAGCTGATCTACTTATCCTGTGGAGCGCGTTCGCTGTAAATGCTGATAAGTTGGTGGATGAAGTGCCCTGTGTCATTAAAAAGCTCTTTGAGTTTAATGAGCAAATTGATGTCACGGGGATCACCCAGCCGGACGTTTGACAGTTAGAAAAGTCGTGACCATGAGGCGGATGTCAGTATCTGATATGACAATGTTATAAGTATTATTTTTAACTTTAAATTAGAAAGAATAATAATAATAGTACAGTGGTGCACCACTTATGATTTTTGTAATGTTTATTTTTATTTCTCACAACTACGTAATCTCGGAAAAGGGGAGATAACTCTTCTCAGAAACGGTACTATGCGTAGTAATATGAAGTGGTCATTGTTTGTTAAATCAGCTGACTGGTTGCATGAGAATCGTTGTATTCATAGTGTGTTCATGGTATAATGGCAGTTCTTTTCAGTTGGTAGATTCATGTACAGAACAAACATCAAAAACGTATATATATATATATATATTCACTGTTGATATATATGATATGATAAATGAAGTTACCTTCACTTCCTCTCCCGAAAGGTCAGGTATCAAAGTGAATGTTTCAAAACGACCGTGCATTTTAACGATATATGTATATATTAGATTACATAAATATTATTTGTTTTTTCCTGCATGAAATACATCACAAAGAAGATTTTTTTCCATGTTCCTAAATGGGGGAAAGCTTTAGCAAAGCTCTATGAACAGTAATTAAGTCGATATATATATATACTGCCTTCGGCTGTCTTTAGCCGGGGAACTATTGGTTTTATATAATAGTTATATTTTCAATTATAGTATATCAGTTCTATCTTCTTGTAATATGATGTATATGTACATGTAACAGTTCTGTTTCACCGTGTCTTGATAAAGGAGCGGATCGCTCCGAAAATTTGACAACCTAAACTTGTCCACGCTGTTGGAATTACTTCTTAACCCTATATACTATTTTAAGTAATTCGTATCTATTAGGATCCAGTGTTATATGGGATTTTACCGTCTATATTACTTCTTTGACCTATACTGTATTATAGAAAGCGATCATTCAATATGACTTTTACATAGACATCATGTATGAGACCTTCAGTGTTTATTTCTAATCACGAAGCAATAAAGTTATTAATACATCAACACACTTTAGAATGAGAATGCCTATACAGGTTATTTAGGATGCACGGTAGTCTAGTGGTAGGACGCCGGGCTCGTGACCGAAGGGTTGCGTGTTCGAATCACGGCACGGCACTGTGTTGTATCTCTGAGCAAGATACTTTACTCCGCTTGTTCCATTCCACTTAGCTGTAAATAAGTACGTGGTTGGGCAGTGCTAGAATTGCTGAATGCTAGCTGTTAGCGCCGAAATTGCAGCTCCGGCTGCATGCTCCTGAGGAAGTTGAGAAAGGTATTGGCTGGTTGCAAATTCCCTATAACCACGGATAATAATTTGTGAACCGCTTTGAGACGACCTACGAACTTGGTTGTGATAAAGCAGTATGTAAGAACCTCGAATTATTATTATTATTTAAATATGAAGATCAACCCAATTAAAATGATACCTAAAGTTAAATTTCAGCAGAGTTCTTCACTTCTGCTTTCCTTAGCCGTTTTTAGAAATTTAAAAATCAAAATTAAAACAGCAGTCAATGACATTGCTCCAGACAATTGGAATGCGTGAGTCCAGGTACCCGTGCTGTCTCTGATGGCGCCTGCAATGAGAATATAGCCGACATGTATAATAATGCACTGATTCAGCAATTTTAAGATGTTATTTATAGATAGCTCGCGCAGGTATTTGGTAAATTAAAGCCTTAATATCATTCTCTTCTTGTAGTTTTGCATTAAATCAAGAAAAACATTTTCTGATTTTGGACTTTCCCTTTCTTGAGAGTAATATTTTGCTTTCCACTATAGTGAATACACCATATGGTGATTCTGTATTCAAGAACCTGCTCCGAATAGCACCTTTTCATGATACTCGTAGAAGACTGCTGACGGATTTACTTACAAAACATGGTTTTGAGAGATCAATTTTGATGAGGCAATTGACAATTTTTAAGATTATCATAATCATCTCAGGAAATGTTCTTATTTCTTATGCTATATAAGTTATTTTATTTGATTCGGATTAGTTTCCTTTGTCGGTTTGTTGCCCTTAACCGGTTATTCTTTTAAGAACGTGACTTGGATTTGACAAAGATTTACATGATGGGTATCAACGATGAGGCAAAAGAACGCTTATCCTTCCGAAAGTTCTCGTCTCATTTTCCTTGTACCTTTTTAAAATCTTCAATGATATTCCGGGTAAAAATTCATTTTCCTGATATTCTTTCCTATTAACATCGATTTTGAATTCAATTAAGGATATAACCACATTCGATATCAGAAATAGAAGAGTTGTGTTGACCTTGAAATCCAAAGATGCATAGAAAATGTTATCATCTAAAGCGCAATAATTGTATTTCGAAGAAATGGAATAAATGAAAACACTTACCTGTTGCAAGTGGATTTAGCAAAAACGCAACAGCTGCTGACCAGCAGATGAAGCCCCAGGTACTAGGTAAACGTTCAAGGTCAACGTACTCCACGGCCATGATCATCAGAGTGCCATTGTATCCACCAGCGAACAGACCATAACATCCCATCAAAACACATAGTTCAAGTTTTCTTCGCAGTAACGAAGTACAGACGATTCCCGATCCGAACAACAAAATTGTTGTGGCAAACATCTCATGGCGGTGTTTCGGAAATACATCCATTGCATATCCGAACAGTATTCTACCAATGAGATCTGTAAGTCCAAAAATAAAAAGTACAAATGCTCCATCTTCTGTCGACAAGCCAATCTCATGAATGAATGGAGGAACAATATTAAACAGACTGTTATATCCAAACATTCCAAAAAACACTGCGAAAAATAGTAGAATGCAATTCAGTTGCTTAAAGAGATTCCATTCTAATTCTTTTATTGTAAGTAATACTTGCTTAGTAAATTTTGTGATCTTTTCACATATTGTATTGACGATAGAGGTTATTTTTAGTTTTCTGGTGGTCGATTCTTCGTGCGATTTGCTTTTTGACGTATACTCTTTTAACGGTCGGATGAGGAGGCCACAGACACAGATGTTCCACATAATACCACCATAAACAAGCAGAGCTCCATGCAGCCCGTATTCCGTCAGTAGATATCTGATGAGGTAGGGAAAGAACATTCCGCCCAATCCTCCTCCGGCGAGTGAAATCCCAGAGGCGGTTGACCTGTATTTGTTGAAGTAATCAGCAATCATTACAACAGACGGCGAAAAGGCCATTCCGTACCCGATACCTAGTAAACAAATAGTATACAATTATGGTATTTCACATATATTTTCCGATACAATTATTTTCGAACATTTTTAATATTTGATATTTTTTTGATATATTTTTCAGAGGCAATGACATTTATACATGGATACAATGTGGCCAGCGAACTGAAAGGCATTGCGATTTATTTGCAACCAGGTTTTGATTTGCTATATTAATTAGTTATTAGTAGCTTGATTACACATCCAAAGTCGTATGAATTACTTTCATTATGTGAATAATTACAAAATGACGTTAACTTGGTTTTATTATGTGTTAGTACATGAATTATGTATAGGAGATATTGTAAAGTGTGAAAGTTTGATTTTATAAAAAAAAAAAAAAAAAAAATGAAAAAAAAAATATATTTAAGCATTGAACTGTTTTTGTATGATATTTATGATCTATTTGAATGACACAGCTTTGCAAGCAAACAACATAATGCGCGCTAGCTGTGTCATATAAATAGATCATAAATATCATACAAAACAGTTCAATACTTATATTTACGTTTTCTCTGCCTCTTATGTTATTTTTTAACTTATAATGTATAATTAAAATTAGCAATGCCCGCCTTGTCGACAGTCCACACAATTTCGTTCAATAGTTTGAACAGCGTATTGTCGCGTGCTGATTGGCAAACAAAGTAGTACATTGACATTTTAACAAACACTTCAAATTTATTCCACAATTTAGTATCAATACAATTGCGTATGATATGTCTTTAGAGTGATTCCAGTTTTTCAATAGAAATCTGAGCTGAAAGTTAGATTTGAAATTGTTTCGATTTTCCCCCGGAACAAATTTCGCGCATGGATGAATACAGTGAACACCGTGAATAGGACCTTGACCTCCACGAGGGAGTTATTTTTGGAATTTAATTCGAACTTTTCTCTCTGCTCGTTTTGTGAAGAATCCAGGCGTGAATGTATTTGTTGATTGTATGGGAACCCGAAAACAATCGGTAGATTCTATAACAGCATCGTTATTTGACATGTCGTCTGAAACTGAGGAACCGTGGATCAGAGACGCGTGAAACTGATAGCGTTTGAAGTGAGTGATCTAGCGACGGAGCACAGGTTCGTTACAAATGTCTAAAATGACGAATGTTTATGTGTGCTGTGACCCATCAGTAGGTCTGTAACATATGTGTCAGTAGGTCTATAGAATATGTGTATTTCAGACATTCATAACGAACCCCTATTGATTAGTGCAATGTAACAGACGATATTTCTGATAAATTGCATGAGCGTTAAAATTGTTTCCATTGCCGGCATTGGTGTTTTCAACCGTTGTGAATTTTGTACGATATTGCAGACCTTGGTCTTGTTTTCGTTGTAATAAAAGTGTTTTTTATTTTATTTTTTATTTTGCACACACAGTTACAATGACATTATCAAATCTCACAATGCCCAGCGATATTTCAGCAGCCGTCATGTTTATTTACATTGGATATTGTAGTTCCGGTCAGTGTTGTAATTAATACGCTAAGAATTGTGTCTCGTGCGGCATGGTAATTATGTCTCGTGCGGCTTGGGAATTAAAGTCCCATCAACGACACAGCTCTCAAAGAGGCTATATAGTGACAATGCCATGCAAATGTAAATATATGTGACCTTTAACAGTTAGATGACGTATTGTATGGCAACAGTAACTAATAACAGTTTTTGACGCGCATATATTTACATTTGCATGGCCTTGTCACTATATAGCCTCTTTGAGAGCTGTGTCGTTGATGGGACTTTAATTACGGTATATATATTTACATTTGCATGGCATTGTCACTTTATAGCCTCTTTGAGAGCTGTGTCGTTGATTGGACTTTAATTACCATGCCGCACGAGACATAATTACCATGCCGCACGAGACACAATTCTTAGCGTATTAATCACAACACTAACCGGAACTACAAAATCCAATGTAAATGAACATGACGGCTGCTGAAATATCGCTGGGCATTGTGAGATTTGATAATGTCATTGTAACTGTATGTGCAAAATAAAAATAAAAAAATAAAAACACTTTTATTTCAACGAAAACAAGACCAAGGTCTGCAATATCGTACAAAATGCACATCGGTTGAAAACACCAATGCCGGCAATGGAAACAATTTTAACGCTCATGCAATTTATCAGAAATATCGTCTGTTACACTGCACTGATCAACAGGGGTTCGTTATAAATGTCTGAAATACACATATTCTATAGACCTACTGACACATATGTTACAGACCTTCTGATGAGTCACAGCACACATAAACATTCGTCATTTCAGACATTTGTAACGAACCTGTGCTCCGTCGCTAGATCACTCACTTCAAACGCTATCAGTTTCACGCGTCTCGGATCCACGGTTCCTCAGTTTCAGACGACATGTCAAATAACGTTGCTGTTATAGAATCTACCGATTGTTGTCGGGTTCCCATACAATCAACATGCAAATACATTCACACCTGGATTTTTCACAAAACGAGCAAAGAGAAAAGTTCGAATTAACTTCCAAAAAATAACTCCCTCGTGGAGGTCAATGTCCCATTCACGGTGTTCACTGTATTTATCCATGCGCGAAATTTGTTCCGGGGGAAAATCGAAACAATTTCAAATCTAACTTTCAGCTCAGATTTCTATTGAAAAACTGGAATCACCCTCTAGACATATCATACGCAATTGTATTGATACTAAATTGTGGAATAAATTTGAAGTGTTAGTTAAAATGTCAAAGTACTACTTTGTTTGCCAATCAGCACGCGACAATACGCTGTTCAAACTATTGAACGAAATTGTGTGGACTGTCGATAAGGCGGGCATTGCTAATTTTAATTATACATTATAAGTTAAAAAAGAACATAAGAGGCAGAGAAAACGTAAATATAAGTATTGAACTGTTTTGTATGATATTTATGATCTATTTGAATGACACAGCTTTGCAAGCAAACAAAGCATAATGCGCTAGCGCGCATTATGTTGTTTGCTTGCAAAGCTGTCTCATTCAAATAGATCATAAATATCATACAAAAACAGTTCAATGCTTAAATATTTCCGATATATTATTCCGAGTAAAGCATACTGGTGCAACATTTTGGAATAATCTGCAACATTTCTTAAAAATCAAGGCCTCTATTATTTCCCTTAATCATTTAGTGGTAAATGTTGGAAACAAGACTTTGTAACTTGGTTCAGGTATGTGTGATATAAAACATCTGATTTAAAAACTAAAACCATTCAGTTTGAAGAACAATAACGCATCCATGTTTGGATAAAGTATTTCAAAAACATTTGCATACATTACATAAAAATATGCATTTCCCTATCAATATCGTTGTAATGGTTTCTGTAATACAATTATTATATTGGTATATGTACATTAGTAGACCGTAACAAATATTAATGATTTAAAACACATGTTGAATAGGATACAGTGATTACACTTTTATAAAACACTTCCACAAAATGATTAACGAAGTAATTTATTCTCACCTGTAATAATGCCATATGTGAAATAAAGAACCTCATACGAGGTTGCAAACGAGGATAATACTAGACCTCCACCAGCCATCAGTCCACCAAAACATATCAGGGTTTTATACGAATATCGTCTACTTAAAGCAGCGCTAATAGGACCTGAAATATAGAGAAGCACGTGGTAAACACTTGTTGTACTGAAGCATTTGTTTGTGATGAAAACAACATATCAATTCGAGAAAGAATATTCATAATTTTTGTGATGGATCAGCATATCCTATGATAGCACATAACTGGAAGCAATTATAAAATGACTATATATATATATATATATATGACATATTTGTTCTATACATATATACATCTATTGTACTTTATCGTCTCCTCACTGTAATAATAATCATCAAATATTTCATACATTTTAATTCGCCAGGCTTAAGTTAAAATATAATGACCTAGGAGTGCTCCCCTTCCCTGTAATGTTTTGTGTTTTGTGTTGATTTTTTCTGTTTCAGTTTATTTGTTTTTTTCTCTTGTGTGTTTGATGTCATAGGTTTATATATATTGTTTTTGCATCAGTGTCTCGGTGTATGTCTTTATGTATGTACATGACATTGGCAATTTTTTGCTTAATATCTGCTTATGTGTTAATAATGATATCTTACATGATGATGATGATGATGATGATGATGATGATGATGATGATGATGATGTCTGATGATGATGATGATGATGATCTTTGTTTAAATTGTATGAACAATCATGTACTGAGGAACAATGTCATATATGTTTTGTCTTGTCTTGTAAAAAATAAAAAAAAATAAAAAAAAATGGCACATTACATACCAAGAAACTGCTGTAAGAATCCTGCCAAAGACTGCGTTAAGGATAAAGCTTTGTTGGAGACATGAAACTTCTCAGACAACTCAACGTACAGAATACCAAACGACTTTTGACCTCCAACTACAAAAAAGGATATAAAGAATCCTCCTGAAATATAAATGACCTGTGTTAAATATTACAATGAATAAGGCCATATTTTATCACATTTTAATTTTAGAACAGTACAGTCGTTCACGTTTTGATATGGAAAAGTTACAAAGAATACAAATGCAAGCAAACCATGTATGAATAGTTTTGGCGATTATCTAACTGTAATTCAACAACAATCTCTAAGGTTTTCCAGCTGGCAAATACAAATCCACAACACTTATGGGCCATTCAGATGACAGAATATTTTGATTTCGAGGTATTCAATGCTCAAAATTCCTATTCGATGATTTCGATTTTTTTTTTCTTTTGATTTCATTTCAGGTATTATGTTACATGTATAATAGTAAAACAACTGTCCTAAATACATATATTAAAAAGTAAGTGAATTATCATCCACATGGAAAACAATTAAGTGCGCTTTCTTGGTTGTCATTATGTACTATTAAAAACATTACTACTGCTTATAGATACTACATTCAACATATCGTTGTCTAGACGTAGAGGTAATTGACCTAACTAGTGGCTGTACCTATGGCCGTCACGCAAAATCGTAAATTTCTTTCCTTGTCGATTTGAAAAATATAGTGAAGACTTTTTTTTTTTTTTTTGTGTAATTGTTTATTTTTCGACGATTTTTTCATAATACATATAATCATTAAAAGAAACACACACACACACACATATACCCAAACTTACAGAACATATATGCTAGCACGAGATAACTTATTATACAACCATCCTATTCTGCATATTTATTTATTAAAACATTTCCTCATTCTCCTACCTGATGAATAGGAAATGAGAGTTCTGCATAAATCCGCCCCTCCCTCTATATTTATAGTAAATCCCTCCCTGACGGGATGGATCAGTGAGGGACCAGTGAGGGATGAGGGACTGACCCCTTAACCTTGTGAGGGACTGACCCCATGACCTTTCATAGGAATTCCCTCTCAAAATAGATTGAATACCCCATAGGGAACATTGAGGGACTGCCTT